GCTCCTGGGACACTTCGGCCGTCAGGAACATGAGCTACATGTTCTATGAAGCGGAGGCCTTCAATGCAGACATCGGCTCCTGGGACACTTCGGCCGTCACCAACATGAGTGGGATGTTTTATGGTGCGCCAGCCTTCAACCAGGACATTAGCTCCTGGGACACTTCGGCCGTCAGAGACATGAGCTACATGTTCTATGAAGCGGAGGTCTTCAACCAGAGCCTTTCTCAGTGGGACACGTCTTCTGTGAGGTATTCTAGGTTTGCATTGATGTTTGCGGGCGCAACTCGGTTTGATGTAGAACCGTGCCGAGCAGGAAGTTTCCCTGCTTACAACAAGCTTGGCTGCCAGGGTTGCCCTGCCGGGCAATTTGCATTGGCAGGTGCGTCCCACTGTCAATCTTGCAGTCCAGGCAATGTCCCCACCGAAGATCGAGGAAGCTGCAGGCTTTGCCCTGTGTCGTCATACGCCTTGCCGAGCTCAGATGTCTGCGTCACGTGCAACTTTCCACTCTTGGCCTTTGAGGACGGCTGCATTTGGTGGCATTTGCCCCTCATTGCAGTCGGCGTGGCGAGCTTGATGGTGGCCCTTGGCCTCTTCCGTTCACACCGACGGGCAAGAAAGAGGGTGAAGCTTGACAACATCATGACTTGCTTGTACCGCGACCTATGGCAAGAAGATGAAGGCGCAATCGAGCTGTACACCGAGAGGTTGGGTAAGCTTGGGGTAAGCAAAGCTGCGGTTCAAGAACAGGTTGATGAGATGAGAGCTGCTCAAAGCAGACTGGCCGGCGTAAGCATGCGGTACCTGCTATCGGACAGCTTCGCGATGCTGGCCACAGAACGCACAGGCAAATCAGATCCAAGCTTCGTTGATATGAAGGACGGCTTCTGGCTGAGCACCAGCAATCCGAGGATCGGGCAGGAGTTGCGTTGTCCACGCGATGGTAAACCGGGCTGTGCCCTGGTTGATTGGCTACCTCGCTCGGACCGCCATCAGCAGACGCATTTTCTTTCCTGGACTTGGCAGTACCGTCTCACGCAAGTGACGAGCGCCTTGCAAAGCTACCTGCCAATGGCTGCCGCGGAAGAGGTGTTCTTCTTCATGTGCTTCTTCACCAACAATCAGTATCGAATCATCGTAGAAGCAAGCGCTGCCGGAAGTTCAGACCTCGAGCAGGTCTTTGAGACCAATCTCACCCGCATAGGCAAGATGGTTGCAATGCTCGATTCCTGGCATGAACCTGTCTACCTGTCCAGGGTGTGGACGGTATACGAGCAGTTTGTTGCCTCCAAGCTGCAAATTCCTGTGACCTTCATCATGCCGGAAGACTCTGCCATCTCATTGCGAGAGACGGTGGAACATGGGAAGACGGGCATCGCGCACATCACCGGGTCCCTACGCGCTGTGGATGCAGAGCACGCCAAGGCTTGGAAACCGGAAGATGAGGAGAAAGTGAAGTCACTGATTCAGCAGACAGTGGGTTTCGAGAAGGTGAACCGGCACGTGGCCCAAACCATGATACGCTGGATCAGCCAGGCTATGAAGCAACACCTCCACTCGCTCGTAGAATTGGTCCCTGATGAGAGTCCACCCGCACCCCAGGTGATCATTTCGCTTTGAAGAGAGGGCTCTGCAGTCTGATTTTCCAATTCGCATTATAATGTACAGCAGTGGGTCTTCAATTAGCTTTCAGGTTTTCCAAGTTTGTAGTGGACGCTCGCATGGAAGTTCAGGTGTTGAGTGTTAGGACCTGAGTAGGATTGACAGTTATGCTTCCACATGCCATGAAGGCTTTCCCTTTCATTGACCATGTTGTGCATTGCGTCCCACTTGCAGTTTTGTTTTGCTTAAACGGCCAAAGCCAAGAGAGCTGGCGCCAGTCTTAAATGCTGTGGAATCAGCTGAATTCATGTGTGTCTCAGGCGGTGCGGGAGCGGGGGCCAAAGTCGGAGGGCCATGAGGCTAGGAGGCAAGGGAAATTGCAGTCGGTGGCATCATGGGATACCTAATCCGCGAGCATATCATCCATGATTTTCGCGACCTCGCACCGCCGGCACCTTTGGGGCGCAGTCGGCAGCCAAAGTGTGCTGCAAGAGGCCAGCACTCACAGCAGCTGCGGCTTGCAGAATTCCGCACATACCTGCACACGTCTGGTGCACAAAATGCCCTTTGCTTGTCTTGCCGTGGCACTGCTCGCACTCACGCACACATGCACGCACGCAGTGTGCATCGCCCAAGTCACGGTTAAGTTGGTCAAGGTTCAGGTGGCTCCGATCTTCACGCGCAAGATGGAGCCTTGCAGAAGATCCGTATCATCACTAAATCCTACGACTGTGGCCTTCACATTGAGGTCCTGCAAGACTTCCGGCTGACCTGTACAGTTTCACGAGTGCCTAGCTTCATGCAGATACTTGCGGGGTGAGGGTGCCGGCTCTGGGGTCTTCTGCAACTATGGATACACAGGGCTTGGTCGTCATCATCGTGATTTCAGATCCCCTCTTGTTGCCCGGAGCCTACCTTGCGCAGCTACCCCTGCATGCTCGTAGTGGCACGTGGCCAGCTTCTGCCGGCTTGAAATCATGTCCGCATGCCCGCTGATGATGCTTGTCCCTGGCTAACGTACATACAAATATGTATAAGCTTCTGCATGACCCTTCATCAACATCAGTACGCAGCACAGTCATGGCTACGTCGTTGATTATGAATTTCTTTGCAGCTCGTTTCGTTTACCCTTTCCGTCTCCACCACCGGCATGCCATGGTCAAGGGCCAGGTCAGGGTAATGTCCGCAACTCCATCACACATCCTGCGACCGCATGGATAGTCCCTGCTGTATTTCCTCAAGTGGGGTTTCCCGCTTCGATGCCCGCGTCAGGCTCAAGATTTTTCGTGACCCAAAGCAGGGTCCCCGGTTCCCTGACCAGTTGAGAGGTCTTTGGAGACATTCTTTACTTTCAAGCCGTAAACGCCGCAAGGTTTCAACCCGCGCAGCTCGCCACCGTGCTCTGTTTGATGGATTTTTCCACGCCATGAGCGACACTTCGGTGTGCGACCTTGAAGCCCGGACTTGTTTGGACGAGGGTGTGGGGATGTGGGCTTCCCTTCTTTCCATACATGAAAGGGAGCAAAAACATGAAGTCTACTTCAAGTCGAGTGGCTTCCACCTCCAGCTTCTGTTCCAATAAGGTGCATCTCATATGCATAACGATCTGTACTGCTTTGGGGAAGGCTTCGTCTCCTAAGATGCTCCTCTTTCTGATTGAAATCAGCTCAAGCCTACAAGGCAACAGATGATTGCATGAACTAACTTTGGGATCCGGGATTCTAATTCGCTCAATCAAAGAGCTCCTCCATACACCGGCATACACCCTGAACCCTTAACTGAAAACCCTGCGCCCTAAACACTGTTGTTTAGACTTCAATTCCTTGCCCCATACTTCAACATTTGGGTCGAAGAGTTCGGTCAACCTTCAAGCCGGCTATTTTTAGAGTTTCGAGTTCATCGGGCCCGCAGGCTGAGCATATAGCTATATAGTCCCCCTTAAGCAGATAGAACATGGCTTTGGGTATATTGAGAATAAGATCCCAATATACCCCATATTGTATCTACTTAAGGGCTGGGGCTCTATAGGTTGGCTCAGGAGCAAGGACGTGCATCCTCCAGAACACTTTGGCAAAGTGTGTCGGCGCTGTCAGAGCAGAGGCAATCATCTGCAAATTCGTTTTTGTAGAGCTTATATGAGCTATTGTCTAAACTCCCTAGACGAGGTTATGTAGGGGAGTATCATACGGTTTTTCAACGGGATACTGGGAGTCTGGACTATAGCCCATATGGGGAGTTTGGGGTTTAGGATGGTGAGCCCGCTTGAGGCGATTAGTAGTCGTTGACGTTTGAAGATAACGTTATATCGGAAGATGTCAAATTCGCACAGCAGCAGTGGTAAGTAGTAGATGTGGCCCCTGCTCAAGTAGCAGACTCAGTAATGGTGGCCTTGCGAGTGTTCCTAATTACTGTTGCTACTGCTACTACTGCCCTTATTCAGACGCTTGTGAGAAGCCCGTTCAGGCCCCGAAGGAGACCAAGCGCGCCGCGAGCTCCAAGGTCAGGCCATGAGACCTCACAAGGGCGGTTGGCGAAACAGTTGAACAAGGAGGCCGTAAGCCTTAAGCCCAAAGTGTGGAGTAAAAGGCTAAACGTTGAACCAGCAAAGACTTTTGACGTTTGTTGTCTCAATGAAGGTCCTGACAGGGGTCCTCCTTTTTCTTGGCCAAACTGCCGCTTGCACTGCCATGAGCTGACAGGCCATGATGCCCGGTAAAAGGGGAGGTTTTCTACTAGGATTATGTTAGTAAGCCTATGCAACTCACACCTTGCATCTGCAGTCTGCTCATGGCTTGGATTCCAGATCGCCCATGAAACATTCTTGGGCAGAGGCATCCAGGAACGATGTACACATTTCCGAAAGAACGCCCCGGTCCGGCTGTGTTTGGAAGCTGGATTCTGGAGTTTCAGCCTCGCCGCGTTTCACCTGACAAAGCCCAAAGCGGCGGTTTCACTCGCCTGCTTCTAGAGCAGGTCTAGGTGTAGTCCATGTGCAGTGATCATCAATTCGCAGCAAAGTTCAAGTACATGTCGTTGAAAAGTGTGGTCACTCCCAATGCAGCTACATCATTCGAGTGGTCGATCGGCACGTCTGTGACTGCTTGCTGCCATTATGCAACTGCTCCTGAACTCTACTACGGCGACTGGCGTACTACTTTCGAGCCTCGGAGATGTCAGCGGTAAAGGTCCTGGTTCAGAAGCAAGTATGCATTCTGGGCTGTTTCAGCTCAAGCTCTTGGCATCCTTGGAATCAGGAACGTGTCGACCTCGGAATACAGGCCTCATTGACTTGCGAAAACATACATTTAGTTTTCTGCCTTTTCTGGGCCGGGTGGCAGGTTCATCATGAATACTTTCTGAGGCAAGAACTATCCCAGGCTCAACTTCCTGCACGCATCCAGATGAAAGTAGTTATGTAGGGTTGCGACTCAGAACTTCGTCTTGAAGCAGCCAGCTCTTCCAATCAGCCCCCTATGCTTGCTATACCTCAGGTGGTCATGCAGTACTCATCTACGACGTCGAAGGCTCCCTTCACGGTTGGAAAGATCGGCGTAGCCGTGCTTGGGGTGAAGTATCTTGGGGGTTTTCGATGGCTTCAGCAGGCTGAGGCACTTTCTGTGTGTTGGTCTATGCCCAAGAGGCCCAAGAGTTGCGGCTTTATGGAGCCGTGCTAACCTTCGTGCTGACGGCTGTTAGCGGTGCCGCATCCCAGGACTGTAGGCAACATGCCTGTAACCGACCTTCCCACTGAAGGAACACGATTAGTCCCACAGCTCTCGACGCAGCATGTCCTAAACCCAAGTTACCGAAAAACAGCTCTAAACTTGCCCAAGTTGGATTTCCGATATGCTAGGTCCTGAGTCCGACTTCCAAGGTTTTCACTGCAGGCCCTCGACCGTAGATTCTCAATGCCCGCAAGGTTCCTCCCAGTGACGAGAAAGCTCGAAGCTCAGGATAAACGTGAAGACCGCAGGTGGTACTGCTGTCAAGTTGTTTGAAAGGTTTTGGTGGCCCACGAAGGCCAACGCGAGAGCACAGGAGCGCATCCGGAGCGCGAGGGCACAGCGCGCACGTAAGTTGGCTTTGTGTCTGCAGGATGGCCGTTGGAAGCAGCCACAAAAGGCGAGGCCCTTGAATTAGGTACTTAAGCAAGAGGGAGAACCGCAGTGGCATAGTGAGTGCGAGCCACCGGAGGGTCGACTCTTACATGATCGATTTGGAGGATTCCCTCGTCATAATCTCTGTCTGTCACACCTGCTTGAACTTCGGTATTCCTTCCCTTGGTTTTCGATTACTGGAAATTCTTTCATCCTGTCGCCTGTCGCTCATAAAACCAAGGGGATGCGTTGCCGGCATGGACAGTTTCTATGCGTGCTACGAGTTATTGCACGTCATGATCAGCCCTTGAACACACTTTCCAGATCAGGATATTCAGGACCATCATCAGCCAGGCTTTCTGCAGTGCTTATGCCAGAAACAACCGTTTTACAAAATGTCAGCTTTCTGATCCATAAGCACATCGTAAGGCCCTGACGTTCCCCCGCACTCCTCGAACACCTGACTGAGTTGACAACCGCTCTTCGTTGCATCACGTGAGAAAATCCCAACCAAAGACCAGCCATGGAGGGGTTTGGGTAGCTTTACTTTATTGAGCTCCGTTTCCAGAGTTCTATCCCATTACCGCGTATACGAACGAAATCGGTGGCCGACATCACCAAAGTCCGGAACAACACCCTCCATTGCCTCTCGCAGCAAGACTCGCGCACTCTGCTTAGAGGCTTCAAAACGTGGAAGCATGAAGCGCCAGTAGCGAGCACGGTTGATCAGCAGGAACTGGTTCTGGAAACCGCATGGCGAGGTAGCAGCCTCAGGCTTCAGCGGCCATTGTCAAGTGCGGGAATTCCCTGAGTCCCTGAGGCTTGGAATGGAGCTAAGCGCAAGGGAAGAGCAGGTTGGATGGGGCGGGGTGACAGATGGCTTGAAGGATGTTGGCGAGACACTCGCAAGGTGAGCAAATT